AAGCTTTTTTTTTTTCTTTCTTTTTTTTTTTTCTTTCCAGGGCGGGCGTGTGGAGTGTGTTCCGGGTCTTTCTGCCCCCCAGCTCGCGCTCACCTGCGGAGCCGCCGAGAGGGCTGGGGTGGGGGCGCGTGGGGCTGGAGCCGGCGAGCGCGGTTTGAAAGCTAGCCAAGCTCTGCAGCGCCCGACCCGGGCGTGTACGCCGCCGCCAGTCCCCGCAGAGAAATCGTCCTCCTACCCCCGCCTCCATCGCGCTGCGTTTCTCTTCCAATCAGCCGGTCGCTTGGCGGCTCCTCCATTCTCCGGCCAAGCCCGCTGCCTAGAGCGAGCTCCACTCCTCCATCTGCTCGCCCGGCTCCTGGCTTCCCTGCCGGAGCCGGCGAGGCGGCGTGGGACCGGAGGGGGATTTGCGAGGGAACTTGCCTGCTTCCCGCTCCCATTGCTCTCTCCCCGGCTGCCTCCTGCTTCTCTCCTGCGTCTTTCCAACTCTCCCCTGTCGCCACTGGTGTGTGTCTGAGTGTGTTCGCGGTTTTTTTTTTTTTTTTTTTTTTTTTATTGCTCTTTGCTTTTGCAACCCTGAAGCCAAAGCGGGGGGTGGGGGAACGAAGGAGGGGGTTACCAAAAAAAAGAAAGAAAGAAAGAAGGGGAAAGACGCTCTTTCTGGATCTGCAACACATCGAAAAACCGGGGGAACACCCCGCCTCATCCGATCTCTGTGCCTCGCGAGGGCCTTCCGGGTTTAAATCGAGCCTCTAGTTTCAACGTCCCCCCACCTTCGCCCAGCTAAGATCCGAGGAGTCCGAGCAAAAAGTTATCCCCCTGGGTCGTATCCAGGGGTGTCAGGGTGGGAGTCGGGGGATTTTTCGAGCAGTAGCAGCCACCTCTCCCACTCGGGCTTCGATCGCTGAGCCCCGGGATAGGGGTGGAGAGCAAAATCCAGGTCGCGGGCGCGGAGGGGCTTCCGGGAGGAAGCCGGCGCAGGAAGGCCGCGCTTCGCGCTTCTTCCCCGCGGTCTATGCCTCCAGTCCCCTGCCAGCTCCCCCTTTAATTTTTTTTCTCTCCTTTAATCTAATTTCTTCCAACTCCACCTTTGTTGTTACCGGCGTCACGCCGGGACCAGCCAATCCTCGCCACGCAATTAGCTAGTCGAAAAGGCTTGGCCAGCCCTGGGAAAGCAGGCCCCGGGCGCAGCCCCCCGGCGGCTGGGAACCGCGAGGGGAGCCCCGCACCCCGGGCTCGCCGCCGGAACTGCACCTAGGCAGCCTCCGCGCAGGCCGCCCGCACTCCACCCTCCTGCGGGCGGGGGATGGAAAGGCCTGGGCGAGGACCACTATTCCATCCCCCACTGGCATAGGCTGTAGTTGTCAGTCTCGGCCTTCCCTCCTCCGAGGAAGGGTTATCGGGACGTGGGGAGCCACAAGACAGTCTGAAAGACGCCTGCTTCCTACAGGCCAGCCTAGGGGTTGGGCTTTCGCTCCAGGGGCAGCGCCATCGTTCCTGGCTCCCAGCTGCCAGTCTCCTCCAACACTGCTTACTGCCACATCGACTTGCCGGCTGGGTCACCAGCCCCTTTGGATTCTCCCCTGGCACATAGTCTACTCCATCCTCACACGCGGCCTCGATGCTGCTGTAATTCCTCTTGTCTCCTGGGAGAAATGAGATCCTTTTCCCAGGACTTCCACATCCACATCTGCCACGTTTCACAAATAGGGAGGAAAATCCCTGTCAAGATCTGGTGTGTCCGGATTTTTTTAGTGGACAGGGCATGCAGGAGAGGCACTTTGTTGTTGTTATTAGGTGCCATGAGGTCGATTTCAACTCCTAGCGACACCATGTGACAGAGTAGAACTGCTCCATAGGGTTTTCTTGGCTGTACTGTAGGGAGCTGACCGTGCGGAGCGGCAGGGTGGGTTCTAACTGCCAACCTTTCGGTTATCAGCCAAATGCTTAACCATTGCGACACCATCCTGATGAAGCTTAAGCTGCAAGTCGTCTCCCTTGCAGAGCCAGGCTAAGCAAGCCCTGTACTTAATTTTGTATTCATCATTTGGTATTTTCCTTAAAGAGACCCATCCTTCAAATTGTCTAAGCTTCAGGCTCCACAAACCCAGATCTGCCCCGGCAACACACGCACGGCGTTCGTTTTGTGTAGGATCAAGGCACCTCATCCTATGCTAAGACTGGGTCACTGGGACTCACTTCTGTTTAGACTAGGAAAGAGCAGAGTCTGGAGTCAAAAGTCCCAGCTTCACCACCCTCTTAATAATTCCAGTTTCTTTGTCTGCAAAATTAGACTAGCAATCCTATTTACTCCGCTAAAATTCTGTAAAACATGCCACAGATGTCACTTGCCACGAAGACAGTGGGAAAAATTTAGACCTCAGAAAATTCCAAATATCTCGCATGCAGATTTGGAGTCCAGGTGTCCTGGTTCCTGGCCCTGAACTTCTTGGCTGGGCCAAGGGACCTTTCGGTAAAGTGCTTTGGAATAAAACAGGATGAACATGAATCATAAGTGATTATTATTGATTTTTCATTCCTTGGGTAGCAAAAATCATGGCTGGCACTCTTCCTAGTTGGAAACCGATTGGCTTGTTTTACCTCCATAGTGTCTTTGGTGAGGTCAGGAGTCTAGGACTTCGGCCATGGGCCAGAGCTGAGGGAATTTGCCCTTGGCCCTTTTTCTTTGCCCTTTCCCAATCCTCCCCCGACCCCTCCAGTTTTCTGGTGGCGTAAGCCTTGAAGCAGATCCTCAGCATTCCATAACCCAGCCCAGGCTGGTGAAGAGGCATAAGCCTTAGCTACACATTTGCCACCTGGCCCCAGTTCTTCCCTGGTTGCCAGCAGCCCAGCACCAGCCCACATAAAAGCCTTGGAGCGCGTTAACAAAGTGTGGTACT